TTGGTTAATACTTAATACTATATCCAATTAGAGAATGGCATACAAAAAAAAATAGTTTTTTGATTCGAAATGATTCAATATATTCAATCAAATAGATATGCAAAAAAATATGACTCATTTTAGATGGTGTTATCTTGTTTTCTTCATTGGTTATGCTGATGAATATGCTTAATTAGTTGAAGTCCTCCTTTATTTGGGATACAGATTTTCCTCTGTGATTTGAGGAGCCTTGTGGACAAACATGGAGGCAAAAGAGTTTTGGCATGGGGTGTGGCCTTGCGGTCTTAGGCTACACTTCTCACTCCCTGGCTTGCCAACCACTCTACCACTGCTCTCTTGGCCATTTGAGCCTTCTTTGGTTTGGCTGAAGGTGTTGCTTTACCCTCTATGAGCACCCTCTCATAAAGGTAATGACTCCTTAGTTCTCATTAAGGCAAGCATTTTATAGCACACACCTTGCGTGTAAATAATTTAATATGTTAAATGTCAAAATTATAAGTATTTTCATCACAGTTTAAAGAATAGATATATAGTTATTATTTTCTCTGTCATTTTTAGGTGGTTTCTAGGGCATGAAAGAGCACGTGCAGTTGGAATTTCCATGGCCGGATTTCATCTTGGAAATGTTATGGGCTTAATTCTGACACCAATCATGCTATCATCCATTGGAATTTCTAGTACTTTTATGCTCCTTTCATCTCTTGGGTTGCTATAGTTATCATCATGGGTATATAAAGTTACCAGTGATTCGAGAGGAAGTCCTTTTATCAGCAAATCTGAGCCACGATTAATTCAAGTCGAGAAAGTTGATCCTCCAGTAAATACTGGAGAGCTTCCACCTATACGCATCCTTTTGTCAAAGTTACCGACATGGGCAATCATATTTGCTAATGTAACTAACTAACAATTGGGTGAGTTTTTTCATCATATTTAGAACTTCTCAGTGGCTTCATTTTTATGAGATGTGACATTTAAGGCATGTTTTTTTTATTTCAGGGATACTTTGTTCTTCTCTCATAGATGCCTATTTATTTCAAGACTGTAAGGAGCTCTCTCATTAATTAGTCCTCTATTTATTGTCTATTTTAGTTATCAAATGCTTTAAACCTTAAACATTGTATATTTAAGGCTCGTGAAAAAGTTGTTGGCACACTCATGGACTCATAACTTCGTAGAGATTACATAATGATTGCAGATCCTCGTGGATTGGTAAATGCATAAGTGCTTGTGTGCACGCACAATTTTTGTTAAGCTTATACATGGATCTATCCTGCAACTTTTGTTTAACTTTTCCTAGATTTAACTGCATTGTTCAAACATCTGGAGACTTACGTTCTTACTTTTCTTGGTATGTAGTAGGACGAGTACTTTCATGTTCCTTAGTATAATAAAATTTTCCTATTTGAGGAGTGTGTTGAGATTTTTTTAAGCAGAAACGAATTTCACAATGTGATCAACACGAAATAAATTATATACAAGAGATAATATTTAATGTAGTTCAACCTAATTGCTTATATCTATGAATGAAAGAGAAATTTCACTATAAATATAGAGAAAATAGTCCTAATTTTTATACTTCCTAGTGTATAACTTATGAAATATCTTTTATCTCATGTCACCGGTGTTTTCTCAAACAAATTTTTTTTCACATCTTTGCAAATCTATCTTTCATATAGAAATCTCATAACTCTTTCTCATAATTATAAAAGTTAATACTTATTTATATTTATAGAGCTTCATTACTTGATCACCATAAATTTCTATTTACTAAGAACTCTTATCTATTAAGAATATTTATTCTTAATTACCAAGTAATTATTTAATTAATAGAATTTCACTGGAATTCAAATCGATTTTCCACTAGAATTTAAGATAATATCTAACAAAATGTTATTGGGATATTTATCACATTTAGAGCTACAGCACTACATATATACATGTTGGATATCACTTGAGTCCAAAAACTTAAGCTATTTGATTTTTTATGTATATATAAGACATCTCATTTTTTTGGACACCATTTGAGGCCAAAAACTTAAGCTATTTGATTTTTTATGTATATATAGGACATCTCATTTTTTTGGACACCACTTGAGTCTAAAAACTTAAGCTATTTGATTTTTTATGTATATATAGGATATCTCATTTTTTTTTCTCTTAATGATATGAGATTTTTTACTTACATGTGAATCATCCAACAATTTCTTCCATTCACTTATGAATTCTTTTCAACTCTCTCGTATGAGTAAATCCTATCAATACTTTTTTTTGTGTCAGGTAACCTTACATTTTTAGTGTGCTTTTAGGCTAAGTCACAACACTCAAACTTGCAACCTAGGTTGACTCAATACATCGGCCCAACAATTTCCTCCGTTCAGTTATGAGTTCTCATTAAGTCTCATTTCGACTTTCTCGTGAGAGTAAATCCTATCAATACCTTTTTTGGGTCAAGCAATCTTACATCTTTAATGCGCTTTTAGGCTAAATCACAACACAAAACTTTACAGCCTAGATTGACTCAATACATCGCTTTGCATCCAAGTCGAGCCTTTTTGTATTATGATACCAAAGTTCGAGCACATAGAGAGCAGCTAGCCTTTGATTTGCTAACAATCTTTTCCCTAGCAACACTAGTAGTACTTGTATCCGTGACCTTAGGCTATGATATCAGTTGTTGGAAGATTTACCACACTTGGAGTCATGAAAGTATATTAGAGATCTCATACATACATGTTGGACAACATTTGAACTTAAAATTTAAAGCTATTGGATTTTTGTATTCTCTATGTATGTATAAAACATCTCATTTAGATCTCTTAATGATATAAAATTCTTTATTCATTTGTTAATCATCCCAGCAGAATGGAGGTGTTTAATGTGAACTTGAAACAAGCAGCTTGGCTTAGTGCGGTTCCATGGGAGACAATGGCAGCTTCAGATTACATTGCAGGTGTAGTATCAGATTCCTCGATCAAGGCTGGCCACTCTACAACATTAGTTCGAAAGATCATGCTGGAAAATCTTCCGAAGCTATTTAATATCTTACAATAATAAGAGCGCATAGGACACGTACTCTCAAAAGTAACGGATTCATGAATTTAAAAAATTTGGTTTCGATCATTAAATATTAGCCAGAGTAGATAATAATATGGAAGATGTAAGAATTTAAGTACATCATAGAAGAAACAACAATGAAAAGACGGAGAAAGCCACGGTAAAAGACCTTTCGAGGTTGGAACTTGGAAGTTCGGTCCTCGAGACATAAATTTACATTGATTTTTATTTTTCGCTTAACATCTTGCTATTTTAAAAATGGCAACTCCTGATATGTAATTGTAAATGTAATAGTCTATACGCTTCATTGGCCCTGGGGTGTCACTGCTTTGCCCGAATTTTGCAAAGTCACCTGCAGTTGCAGCTTTATTTATCACAGCAGCCCTGAGCTTGAGTTCCTTTAGCCAAGCTGGTTTTCTTCTTAATATTCAAGTAAGTTTCATTTTGTCCATTCAATCATGAAATTCAAACAAATCCTAGCCACCCTAAGATAATATCTGCCCATACTTTTCTGAGGATTCACCACCGAACTAATCCTGCTTGGTTTATTTGATCAGGATATTGCACCTCAGTATACAGGATTTGTCCATGGTACGTTTAGTCAATTCTATCAAATAACAAGATGATTTTTATTCATATTTATTGTAATTTTGCAGTTTTCCATCACTAAAAATAAGGATATATTCTTAATGGCAACGGGCATTGGAAATTCAGCAGGGACATTGGCTGCCATAATCAGCACCATCGGAACCGGTTATTTTGTTCAGTGGTTAGGATGTTTTCAAGCATTCCTCACTGTCACAGCTGGCCTCTATTTCATTACAACCATTTTCTGGAACCTGTTTACAACTGGGGAGCGAGTTTTCTGGAATTTCAAAGAACATAATGCAGCATTTAAAAACAGGGTTCACGGTGGGGATGTAATAGGGAACGAAGAGAAGTTCAATTAAGCATTCAAAATTTTGGGGGTAATCTTTTAGGCAATGATTTAGCGACGTACAGTTCATTCTTTGTTTTGCTTCCGGCACAAATGCCTCATTCCCTTCTCATTGTACATTTTTCTTTGCCTTTCCTGATATATCCATCAGAAATCACTGCAAAGCATTCAATTACCATATTAAAGCATGATATAGTACTAATTCATAGTGTAGCATACTTGGCAATGGAATGATCAGAATGACAGAATCATGATATCTCACCCCCAATAAAAAACCAAATTTCAATATCTCTTTTGCGGCTGTTAACAAACAAGTTAGGACCACATGCAGACCACAATTCAAGTCAAAAACTTCAACTTCATCAGAAAATGATGCCATAAATCCATGATGCTGCAGCCATTTGGTGAATTTAAGAGTAAGCTGCAAATTAAAAAGTGTTCTGGTTCAAATTTATATAAATGAATTCACCCCCTCAAAACAAAATTCAATCGAAGCGTCAACCTTTACCCCAACTAAATTTTGTTGCTGTTGTTCTTATCCATCAATGTTTGCCCAACTCTTCTTGCTGCAACATAAATAGTCGTGAACTACAATGATAAAAGGAAAAATACCAAGAACTTACAACTTGCGAGTTGTTCGGTTTCTAACAAATTCCCAGGGACGCACTTTCTCTTTCTTTTCTTTTTAGGTCTTTTTTAATAGGTTTAGTTGGAATTTGTATATTTGTCCAAAAATAATTATACGATAATTCAGATGTAAAGCTGAAAATGATAACTTGATATATTCATTGAATAGAATAATTATATGTAAATATCTTTCATGTTTTCTTGCATCAAATATATGAAATAACAAGTTGAAAAATGAAGTAAAGTAAAAAATTTATTTAATTTCAATAAATTTATGTAATTATTTTAACCAAAAACTCTACAAGATTCACAAAGAAAAAAATTATGCATAAATTGCTAATAGCTCAAAAAAATAGTATTAAAAAATAAAAACATAAAAGAAATAAATCCAAATTTCTCTCCATCAAATATCTCAGCTGACAAAGCTCTCTTAACTGTTGCATAAGAGAGACCAAACCCACTTTGATTCCTTCACCTTCAGAGACAACAGCTATTCACCCTTTTAAGCTCTCTCTTGCACCACTCTCCTTTCTTGGATTACTTTCTTAACTACATCAATCCTGCAAAGCTCCAGCCTTTTAGGCAGGGAGTGACATGATCCCGGAGTCTAAAACAATCCCATCTTTATAATTTTCCTTGCTTAGGAATCCCAGTCAAACCCTGTTTTTCCAACTACTTCTTAATTTGGTCCCTATTTATGTGATTTTTAAGCAAAACCCACCGCTGAAACCAAACCAAGATTGAATTTTGCTTGGCTAAATTTCTTAAAAGGTTATCAGGTAATTCAAGCGATCAACTTTCTCAATTGCGTTCTCTGTTGTTGTTCTTAAAGAGATGAATTTCAGGAGCTTGGAAGAGTTTTGGGCTTTTTATGTGACTCAGCACTCAAAACCATCTACAAGGCGCTGGCACTTCGCGGGCACACTCTCGAGTATTCTATTATTGATTTATTCTGTGTTGTTTAACTGGTGGTTCTTGCTCTTTGTGCCTATATTTGGTTATGGACTTGAATGGTACAGCCATTTCTTTGTGGAAGGGAATGTTCCTGCCACTTTTGGGCATCCATTTTGGTCCCTTTTATGTGATTTTAGGATGTTTGGATTGATGCTTACTGGGAAAATGGACAGAGAGATCAAGAGACTTGGAAAGAGACCTATCTTGCAGGGCTTCTAAGGCTCTTATGTTTAAGACTTTTGTGTTTAATTCATGATACAATCACTTGTATCGGTTTCTTAGGATGCTGTCATGTCAGCTCTACTTAAACTCTTGTTGATTACATCTTGCTTCTGATAATGTTTAAATACGTTTTTCTTAAATTGATGATGAATAATTGAGTAGAATTCCTTGATGACAGCAATAATTTGACTCTGCTGGATGATTGTCGGTGTAAATACAATTGTGGTCTTTTCTGGGTGATAGGTTGGATATTTTTGGTTAAATTTATCGCGAATCTGCATGGTATTTATGCTGTTAATGTTTGGATGTAAGCTGAGGAATCAGTTTGTTCAGCCACTTGCTTGTGAAAGGCCTCTATTTTAGGTTTGATTCTGCTTTAGGCAAGTAAAAATTTATTGAAGAAACTTTTAGATTGTTGAATTGGAGGATTGATGTTGTCGATAAAGCAATGAAGGACATGAACAAGCTAACACATGATGTAAGGTTCAGCAGTGTTCATCCCAGAATGGGGTAAAATGAATGGTATGGTCTTGCTTTCTGGAAACAATACTAAGTATTCACTTCACAGACTGCTCACACTTCTTTGTTTGCAGCCATGATTAGATGATAACAAACCTCCATCAGCTCAACTTATTTTTAGAAAGCATTTTCTCAGCCATGGTGTTTGGCCAAAAGCTTTCTGACATTTTACTTTCTGACATTCTTCTCTCTGGGAATACAATTTTTAGGCCGTAGGTTATGGGAGAAAAGTGTTGGTCAGTCCCGGAGTTCATATTAATGAGGATTAGCCTTACATTTATGCTGTCAACCAATAGCAGCTCATCATTTGGTAATCTTTAGGACTTCCTGTATAGAAAGCTAACAAAATATGAAAATTCGGTAACATAAATGTAGTTCTTCCAACGTGTATGGTAAACATATTATTTGAGTAGGATTAAACAATCTAATACTAGTAACTGAACACAAGATTCTATCTTAGGGCAGCTCCCGTTTTAATTGTCTGAATTGAAATAGAAGTACAGTTTGTATTTGGTTGAATGTCGTAAGAAACCTTTTGGTACGCAAATCTAAATGATTTTGCAAACAGTTAAGAGCGAAAAGGGGCTTGATATTCGTGCTTTTGAATCACTGAATGTCATAGCATACCTGCAATTGCTATCAGGTAGGCATGAAAATTTCAATGATTGTTATAACTAGTTTGATTTTAGTGCGGAATCCATGCACTACCTACCTAGTTTTAACTTTCAGAATGTGTTTTCTAGGACTAAATTTTAAGATGACATGCGTATTTCATGACAAATAATTCTTCATGCTAGAACTTGACTTGGTCGCGGATGTGAAGTACCAGCAAACGCCAACCACCAGGAGTTTTGACTTTGACGGACTCTCTCCCCTTTCTCTTTCGTTTGGGTGTGCCTGGCTCATGCTTCAGTGAAGATGAAAATACCCATTTAGACATGAATTTCTGCAAGTAAAGAATGATAAAGTTCAATAAGCACACTGTGTGGCATGATTGCTCACTATAGATAAATCTTTTTCCTCACATTGAACCACGCATGGTGTTAAAATGAACTTAACTATTTAGTGTCCAAAAAGAAACTCAAATTCGACTATGTCACAATTTTCGACCTCCTTAATCAAAGACTCAGACGTTAGAAAGGCCAACCTTTTTTGACAACGTAAAATCAATTTAATTTGAACTTGGACTGTCTAATTTTGTAGGATATAATGCTTAAATGCATCTATATCTATGGCCTTGGAATCAAAGTGTGTAAATTGTAGCATGTGTTGAGGTCCAATATGATGCAGTGTCACTAGTCTGTGTTCCGGAAGAATGACGGCAAAGGCATGGCCTCCTGTGGGCGAAGGATGACGAGCACACCAAACATACCAAGCATTGGGATGATGAGAAGCCACTTAAGCAGTTTGTAGTAATACATATGGAATGTGAGGGCGAAGTCATCAGAGAAATAGAGCCCATTCTTGTACACCATCTCCACAACAACAGTCCCTGTAGTCCTTACGCCTACTGTTCAAAGTTTTATCTGATATTTCCCGGACGCTCAAAGATCTGGCTTTGCTTTATCCTTCTTTCTCCTTGATAGTTAGCAGGGACTAACAATGTTGTCTGCATTGTTTCAGAAAAATATCACATAAAAGAAAAAGGAGATGATAAGTTAAACAACTTTAGCCAAAAACCAAAAAAAGAAAAAGAAAAAAGAAAGAAACATTTGAATTGCTTTAGCAATTGTAATTTGAGCATGAAATGGCAGCTTACTGTGACATTGTAAGGTGCTTGAAGCCCTGATGGATATCTATGTTTATCCACAATCTCAATCTCCAGCCAGGAGCTTTTGCCTTCCTCATCACGGAAAGCTCTTGATGAATGTCTAACATATACTCCCTCACGGTTGTAATGGTTTGCAAAATTGTTTCTACCTTGGTTATTTGATCTCCATGCCTGAAATAAATTATAATTAATTAATACTTAAAATTCTTAGCAAATGCACAAGAACTCAGTCATATGTCAGGTTCAGTTCTATCCTGCCTTTAGAGGATGATGTGGGGCAGGGGTTGAGAAGCAAAAGACATTTCTGTTCATAGTTGTAACAATAAGATCTAGATCATCACCACCATCAACATTGTCTGCTAACACCATGCTATACCTGTCAAGAAATGGTCCAAATACAAGATAAAGAAACATGAAAGAGCATTGGGAAAGGTATAGAACCATAAGGTGTAAGAAAAAATAACTTACGAAGTTTCACCAATATCTACAACATCAGCACATGATGTAGGTCCATCTATCAGGTACAAATAACCATCAAAAGATGTTGTAACAAAAGTGAGTCCCTTGCTTTTCTCCCCACGTTTACTTAAATCAACTAGAAGAATTTGATTCATTACTCTCCCATGAGTTCTATATGGATAGGGACGAACTACTGAACCATCCTTTCCACTTAGAACATGAATATTCCCTGATAATGTGGGAATTACAAGATTTGTGTAGCCATCTCCGTCAACATCACCAACAGCAGGACCCTGAAGATAAAATGATTTCAAAGTACTTCAAACAGGCTTCCATCTTGATGTATATCGGCTCAGAACTAGTCTCTTTATGCATTATTTAACTCAATTTAGAGATTTAAAACCAGAGAAAAGATACTTGAGCAGATAGCTAACATGCATCCAGGGCATAGACCAGTGAACATATCATATCCCTTCATGCAATTATATAAAACTTTAGTAATAGTAAAAAACTATGTATTTATATGCAAGAAAAAAAAAGACAGTGGTGGAACAACATCAAATTCTAAATGCATTTACAGAAACTAGCTACCTAATAAATGATCATACCATCCATGTACGGGGAAAACTAGAGAAAGGATGCTACAAGTCACCTGGGGAATCAGACTCTTTACATGAGCTTCCCAAATTCCTTCCCCTTGTGCAGTCCATGCTGCAACATTTTCATGTGTATCTGTTGTCACTAGCTCAATCTTGCCATCATCATTGATATCAGCAGCAACTACAGCACTTTGAATTTCAGCCATTTCAAGAGGAAACTTTTGTCTGACACTTCCTGAATCAAATGAATAATTCAGTTGGGTAATTGGTAAAGAGAATTGAGAAAGTTGCTTATAATTTAAAGTCAGTTCAAATAGGAAAAACAAAGATGGAAGATCATTGCACAGAAAGTTGCTCGCAATGAAAAACATCAAACAGCATGAGGACAAATCTTTTAAAATGAAAAATGAAACAGAGTATTTTTATACAAGGAGATATAGTGCAAGTGTTTTGCAAGTAAATAGTTAATCAGGGTTCAAGCAGAAAAATTCAGAGTGGTAAAGAAGCAAGGGTGACAAACCATTTAAGGCATTTCCAACACCTTCACATGTGAAACCTACATAATTGAATCAAAATCATGTATCAGGCGACAAACTGAATGTATAAAAAGAATAATAAAGGAGATTTGGTAAAAAAAATGAAGTATGAGCTAAAGTAGTTTCGACATTGGAGTAGATTTGAAGACTGGCTGCTTGAATTTGGATAGGCACAAAGGTGGGGAATATTGATTAGCTATGTTGTGAAGTATGGGTGTTTCATATAAGACATACTTTAAGAACTATAAACTCAAAATACAGGGGAAACAGATTAAACAAAAGACTGTCAATCTAAAGGGATTACCAAGGTGATCCAATACATAGAACAAGCCAAATGAAGTTCCAACAAGGATGTCCAAGTTTCCATCACCATCCAAATCAACAACATTTGGAGAAGAATATATATGTGCACGGAAGTTAGCAGTATCTTTACTCAAATCTAAGTCTTTTGTCCACTTAACCTGCTTTGTATCAAGATTGAATACAATAACGCCACCAGCAACATATTTTCCAATATCAATATCTCCAAGTTCCTTCATATGTTGCGGGTTGTCACAATACCTAACGAATAATGTCAGTTTTTCAGCTCCTTCCACTGTAAAAGAATGACTCTCCTTTCATGAAATAAAAATTTACTTAAAACAGATTGAAAAAGTTAAATAAGAAAAGGGGAGAAAAAAGCTATAATTTTCCTTGACTGAATTTCAAGAGGCACTTGAGGGAAAACCTAGACTACCAAGTCAAATTGAAAGATAAGGAAGACAACTTACTCATGGTCAAAGAAGTAGGAAACAGCAACAACCATTTCTGACACCCCATCATTATCGATGTCTGCTATGACCCAATGGCAATTAGAGAGCAAAATTTTTGTGTCTGTTATAGTAGAAATCTACTTGTGTCCAGCAACAAAGTTCCTCCACCAGAGAGAAACACATTTTCTAGTTAAAATTTATACTCACTGGTGTAGACAAGATGTGTGAGTCAATATTCATATAATCCTCCATTTTCTCATGTTGTCCTTCAGTCCACTCCTCATCTCCCCACATGGATTCATCAACATAATCATCATAATCATAACTATACTCATCAGCAAACTCATCACTATCACGGAATAACTCAAACGATGAATCAGCATCTGCTTCTAACCCTTGATCATTTTTCACAGTAGCTTCCTGAACATTCTCTTTTGAATCAGAACTACCTTCCTGGGAACCTTTTGAGTTGTTATCTTCTAGAAGCCGTCTCCCAGCACTTGTTTTATTATGTGCTTCAGTGTTTCCCACCGATTCAGCACTTACAGAAGAATTATCAACACCAGTTGGCAGCTTGATGGTATCTTCTATTTGACTTCCATCCATTTTCTTTCCATTCTCTGCATTAGACAAGTTAACCTTGCTAGATTGACTTTCTTTTGATATTGAACCAGTAAGGTTAGATTGAGGTATACTTCCATTCATTTCTGCAAGGATAACCAACATGTATTGGTGTGAGTTGTTTCATGAGAAGAGAATGCTTCGCAATATAATCCCTCAACAAAATGTGATGTATACTTTTTGCCAGTTTATTGTCTTCAAACTACCATTATGGAGCAGAGGACAACGTAGCTTTCTTAGCAACTATATAAAATGAGAGATTAAGAAATTGAGAAGTAACAGGGTTATAAATTTATTGAAACTTGGTAATAGCATATGGCTAATTGCATTCATTTTAGCAGCATCCTCGAGTAAATCATCATGGACATCTGGATGAGAACGGTCAACTGGATCAGGATGCAATCCCACGTACCAATCGTTACGAACTTTTCTACGAGGTATCTCCAATTTATCAGTCATCATGTAGCCTGAAACCCTAAAAATAATAACCTTTGGAGAAATTAGTATGACAACATCATAATGATGATGAGTTCCTCCACCAACTTGAGGGCATCAGATAATGAGCAAATAACTAAGATAAATAACCTGAAAAAAAGCACTTCCCCATTGTAGGTAGCCAGAGCAATTTCCCTCACACCATCTTTATCAATATCATACAAGAGAGGACTAGAATGCACGGTTGACTGGTGAAAAGCAGGCCAACCTGACAAATTATGGAAAACTCAACTGTATCAACTTCAATCTCATTACTCCTTAACTAAATAAATATGTTCATTTTCATAAACTTGATTTAGCACGATCAGAGGACAAGGAAGCATTATTACCAGGCATTTTCTCACCATCTGAACCTTCTAAAACTTCAAGGTAGTGAACAAATGATGGAACCACTATATCAAGCTTCCCATCACTACAAATTATATAATCATGCCAGAGTCAACTAACTTATTATTATTATTATTATTATTATTATTATTATGATTATTATTATTATTATCAATTTACTCGTAAAAAAATCAGTAAATTTCTGAAAACGAAATGAAAATTGAAAAGAAGTAAAATTTAACACCAGCAAAACTCCGCATGCAATTAAAAAGATGAACTTAAAGGAAGAGTAAAAAACTTCACCTATTGATATCAGCGATTAACGGAGTTGCATAAATGCTAGAGCTGACCTCTGTTTGCCATCTAAGTTCTAAATTTCTAGAGCACTGTGTGTTCAACAAGGCATCTTCATCCCTACACAATGATACACAAAAAAAAAAAAATTTTGATATAACAATGGGTCCACTAATTAAGTCTAATTTACGAATCCAAAAAAAAAAAAAAATTGAAAGAAAGTAAAATTAAGATCGCCGGGGCAAGAAAAGAACTTACATTTGGGGATAACCAAGCTCGTCATCGGTAGCCTTTCGTTCACGGAGTTTATTTTTGGTGTCATCGCCAAAAGAGAAGCTCTAGTGACTAATCAAAAGGAAAAGAACGCACAATACCCTAATCTCAAAGGATTTCATGTTGTGATCTTCGTTTCACTCCAGAATTTGGAGAGAGAAGGAAAGGAAATGTGTAATTGAAGAGTATTTTCCAGATGAGAGAGAGTTTGGAAATCTGAGAAGAAGATGATTAATTAAAGAGTGAAAATCTTTTCACCAAAAAAAAAAAAAAGGAGTGAATATACCGTGGGCCGGAATTGTAAGGATTTTCGACAAGAAAAGGAGATCCCGGACATTGAAGATTTTGACGGTACGAGTACTGAATTCAGCTAAACAATCTACTATACTTTCTTTTTTTGGAAAAAAAAAAATACTACTACTAAGCATGCAAGAAAGAAAATCTTTCTTCGAGGATACTGAAATTTGAGTATGATCACTAAAATTTAATAAAATTAGACAGTTTACCGATAAATCACACAACTATTAACATAAATGATTGAATGAAATTTAATTTAATGATTTTACGACTTTTTAATCTTTTTTTTTTTTCATTTCATTTTTAATTTTTTATTATTTTGATTAGTTTTTTTAGTACAATGCCGATCAAAGTTCTTTCGAAATATCGTATTTTTAAAAACTTACTTCTAAAAATAAAAACAAAATTTTTACTTTTGTTTTCTTTTATACAAAAATTATTTAATTAAAACGTGCATAAGATATAAAAAATAAAAATACAATTCCCTAAAGAATTGTACCTTGGGAGTTGGTCTAAGTTTCTTGAAGTACGTGATTCAAAACGTAATTCCACCATCATTCCTAATTTATTCATTCACTAGCACTTGCAGTAGCAATAGAAGAGTATAGCTAAAAGGTTAAAATGGAGTGCAGATTTTATGAAATGACAATAACCAAAACTTGTTTTATAATCCTGCATCTGAGTTACGTAACACAAAATTCCAAACACAAGGGACTAGAGGGTAACTCGTTTTATAATCCTGCATTGCATTTTCCACCGACCAAGAAAAACACGACAAAATGTTGAAGCACAATAATTATAAAAAAAAAAAAAATTTTCTTATGTAATTACAAAACATAACCTAAGCTTCGTACATACAGATTGCCTAAACAGCGGCAAAACAAAGTCAAAACAAAGTCAACAAGTCTACGAGCTGAGAGAAAACGCTGAGGTGCTGTTGGAAGAGCTGCAAATCTCTTTCGACTTAGAAAGGGGAGACAATAGAAAACAAAATGAAAAGTTAATATTATGAGCAAATACCGAGTCTTACCCCTTTTCCTATCAAATATTCACAGAGACCGAAAATGAAACTCTTGTTTTCGTTCTGGAAAATGGCTACTTTTAAAAGAACTTAAGAGATCACTAAATATGGGAGAAAATTAAAAAAAAAAAAAAATTAACCTAATATACATGGTTATCCTAATGCTAATCCTCTTGATCTGAACAACTATAAGAAAAATAGTCTCAGACCTGAACGTTACAGCCCCCTGGATCATACAACTCACCAGCATTAGCACACAACACAAGACTGACTAAAGGGGGGATGCCTAATTACCCTTTACATGATGTCCTCAACAGCCCAAGTATGCACCTAACTTCTACCAAAAGAAACCTGGAAGCACTTAACACACAGGCATTGAAAGGCACACCAACCAAACCATTCAACACCTCAATCAACTGCACAACGACCAGCATGCTATCCATCACCTCCGTCGTGCTGAATTTGTATGCTGCAGGTGGGCCTTGCTGTCAATCCTGATTCGATCAGCATACATGGGCAAGCGAATAACCTCGTTAATCTCATTTAATAAGATTTCCTCTGTGATATTATCCCTTATACTTCGCATAACCTGTTTTTGCATAAGCAAACAGTTTTTACTTACTGCAGTTAGGTAAGGAAAAAATCAACAATTTGTCAAACGAGCAAAGAGGCAGACCTTCTTGAAAGTATTGAAATCATTGGGAGTCGACTTATCTTTCCTGATCCGCATATAGATCCACACCTGTCGATTAAGATCCCAAGAACACTCAATAATCTTCCCAGATAATGAACAAAGAGGATCTGAAACATCTGCAAGTAATTCAAGAAACTAAACAATCAAAATCAAAGGTGATGATCTCAAATGAAGCAGAAAAATGGAATAAACACAATTCACAGCAACCTCTGAATTCAACTTTATTCTCTTCCATCAACTTCTTTCTCCCCCGTTCATAGAGAAAAAGTTGTTCATGATCATCACTGCCAATCTATTGGTACATAAAGCTTTCAGTTTGGGGATGACTACAAATTTTTTGAAGTAAAAAACAGCCAAAATTTAACATCAAAAGCTACTTAAAAGAAAAATGAGAAAACAACCTCAAACAGAAAGTCAACAGAGTTCAGCTGAGCATATTTCCACTTCAGAAGACCTTCATGAGTGCGAGGTACATAAGGATCATCCCAACCCTGGCAAAAAGAACCATCAGTAACCACTTGTGCCTAAAAACATAACAGTCTTTCCTAACAGAGCATGCCTACAAAGCAACAAGAACTTAAAGAGTAAAGATGCATGAATCAGCAGGATGCAGAGTGTGAAACTGAAAAAGATAAAATTGGTTTATTATATATGGTGAGGTACTAAATAACCAATAAAGATTATTTTCAAAAGGAGAAAGAATAAAATAAACAAGTTCGAAAAGGTTTGAGATCCATAATCAAATAATCCTCTTCAATCACCTGAAAAATAAGACCATCTGCCTCGTGAGAGAGCTTGGGGATAAATTCCTTCAAAACCTTATTTACAGTAGAGAGCAACCAAAAATCCTTCCTCCGCACCTGATAACAGATTTAAGCAAATTCTTAGCCCATCTCACAAAGGCGGAAGATAGATCAATATATTAAACATTGGTGTTCCTGAATACATACCCTGAAGGGTTCAAGGTCATATCGGTAATAAGGATTCCTGCTCTGGTAAATGTTCTGGCGCTCATAATTCCGAGGCTCAATCACTTCTTTTTCCAGCATTTTCCATCGTTCATAGAAAGGCCGCTGCACCGGTTTTAATCTATAGGATTACTACATATGCTTTATATATATATATATATATTTTTTTTTTTCACAAGAGAAAATGGAGATAACATGATTCTGAAAATGAAAAAGGCATTTTGTCTCTCAATTTGAATCTACTCTTAGATCTAATAACCCCATTCTTGAATCCCCATAAGACAAAGAAACTATAAAAGAAGCAACAGATATTAATAAGGGAAACTAACACAAACTCCCTTGACAAATTTACTTTGTAGTCATTAAGCAATCCAACTGTTACCTCCCACTACCCCAAATGAATGACAAAGTAGTGCCTATATCAAATAATGCTTGCTGGAAAATTTGGCTAGGGAGATCAAAATGCAAAGAAGAATTAAGACTACTGATTACTAAAGCATCTCTGACAAGCCCAATAGTGAATGTTTAAAACATATAGTCTCCAAAAGCCTAGAGTAAAGTAAGATAAAATAACTGTATAAAAAGATCAACTGAACTATCAGTTTCATAAGACAGTTACAATGCCATAGAGGACAAACAATTAAGAGGAAAATTTTGTAATAAATAAGGACAACCAACCTCTATGACAGGCACATGATTAATTGCCATCATATCATAGATGAGATATCTTCTCTCTTTCTTCTGTGAGTCTGGCATGGTATCAATTATCATTTCCCCATCAAGCAATGTGAAATGATGAGTTTTGTCACCTATACCCTAACAAGTGAAAAAAATTATGTCAAATTAATAAAACTAATGAGACAGTAAATTCCCAGAGTTTCTCTTAAAAATAAAGATATGCAAATACATACTTCAGTTGGGTGCCTGCATGGAAACCTCATCTGAACCCTTCGGAAATTAAAACTCCTATCAATTAAATAACATCCATCAATAGTTATTAACATCATATATCGTGTTCCATCCGCTTTCCAAGTGGCATAATAATAACGCTGCCTTAAAAGTTGCAAATTGTCCCTGCAAGTGTAAAAAGAGAACTCAATTTTTATATAAAATAAAGATTTTGGCAAAAAAATTATAAAACAATCACAAAGTTAATAAAAAAAAAAAAAAAAACTAAGGTGGCATTTGGTTTGGGGGAAGTAACTTTCTTTCCCGGAATCTTACTTTTTGTAATTTGATTCATTGGTTTGATTCACAAGAATGTGATTTCTGAAAATTTTTAGGATTTCCAACAATGTAAATAAAGTGAGGAAGGAGGGAGAACCAAAAACTTTTCTCTCCCTGAGAGTTTTTAAGATTTCAAAAGGAAAGTGAAATTTCTTTCCCATTTGTCCTCACTTAATTGCATTTCAAATTATATAAGCAACGTTATTTATCTTAAAAATGTAGTAATTTTTTTATAAAATATTATGAAAATAAATTTTTTAATATATTTTATACAAAGATCACATATTTAACACACTGTTATTAAAATCTTCACAAAAATTATGATTAAAAACACAATCTTTATTGAAAAAATGAAAAAAATTATTTTTTATAATTCAACAAAAATATTTCTAAGGCAAAAAATGCCCTTTATTAAAAATATGAAAAAATTTTATTTTTTCAGAATTTAACAAAGATAGCGTTTTTAAGATAAAAACACAGTTTTTGTTGAAAAAAAGATGTTTTTAAAATAAACAAGTAGTCTTTATTTAAAATATGAAAAAAAATATCTTTCAAAATTCAATAAGGATGATGTTTCTAAGATAACAAATATTATTTTCATTGAAAAGACAACGTTTCTAAGATAAAAAAACATAGTCTATGTTGAAAATATAAAAACATATATATTTTTCAAAATTCAATAAAGATAACGTTTCTAAAAAATAAATGCAGTCTTTGTTAAAAAGATAACTTTTTAAAGATAAAAAATACAATTTTTAATGAAAATATAAAAGAAACATTTTTCAGATTTAAACAAAAATGACGTTTCTAAAATAAAAAACCCAATTTTTGTTGAAAAGCCGATACTTCTAAGATACAAACACAACATTTATCAATTTGTATATTTTTCTACGTAAGGTCAATCAACATTAAGATAATAATTAGAATTTTAAAATTATATTTGTTGAAAATATAAAAAATTATTTTTTAGAATTATTTAGTTTCAACAAAATCGTGTTATGCATGTGTCACATGTTATTCAAATGTCAGTATTATAAATGTCATATGTTATTCATGTGTTATTAAAAACAATATAGTAAAAGACTTTATAGGTAACCTTAAATTCCTATAAACAAAACACAAAAACCTAACATTCCCTAAGTCGACAAAATCTAGAAACCATACATTCCCCTTCAATATCACTGCGAATTAAACACCTCCTAAATAAGACTAGCTCAACATTCATTTTAGCCTAAGAGGTTGTACCTTCATTTTTACTCTCCACACCCCCCTTTGTTTCAAACTTATCTCTAAATAAAATTACTTAACTACCCTTTCTCAAAATTCTTTTAAAGTCTCCGAATTTGCAAATTCGGAAATTTTTAAAAGCTTATAGATTCACATATCCAAAAACCTTTAAAAGCTTCTAACTCTCTTCAAAAGATCATTTAAGTGGTTTAGAAATCTCATTAGGAACATTGGTCATTTTCCCTTCCTCTGATTATTGAAATCAAGAAGAAATTCAAAGACTCATATATTGTTATAAGGTACTTTTTCTATTAAAGTTACAGTTTTTCTTGTCTATCAATTTGTAAATGTTGTGGAAATTGTTCAAGATATGAGATTTCTTTTTCCTCAACTAAAATTTTTGATTTAGGGCTTAAGGTTTTTTCTAGGCTTAAATAATTTATTGGATTCGCATATTAGGTAAGTTATTTGATTACTGGATATGGATACCAGGAATCTTTTAAAAGTGAGAAGGATAATTAAATAATTTCACTTAAAGATAATTTTGAAACAAAAAATAAAAGGAGTGTAGAGAGAAAAAACAAGGGTACATTTTGAAGCTCCCTTATCCTTAAGGCAGTTAAGTAAGAAATGAACAACTGAAGCTGATAAATAATAATCATTTTAGGGGCCAAAACAGAGGAATGGAACTACTTACTTTACAGCAAGTATTCAGTTTTATAGCTACTTCATTATTCACATCCTACACTGTCTATAATGGTAAGTTCTTCATGGATGCTTCAAGACCTTTTCCAAGCCAACATCATACCTTCAGAGACATTTTTACCCTACTTTTTTTCACTATTATTTTGTATTAGAAATAGACATCATAAATAATTTCGTTGTCGCCAAGGACCAAGCTAATCCCAAGAAAATGGAAAAAGAGAATTGAACAATTTGTAACCATAAAACCTTAGGAACTTGAAAGTATTTTTATAAATAAAAATAAAAAAGAGATTATTTAAAATGTAAATGCCCATTCTCAAATGGTATCTGTTGCATTAGACCTATCCACCAAACTGGCAATCAAATTTCTGACCACTAATTTTAAATATTAATGTTTTATAACTTTAACATAAAGCATAGCCAATTGCACATCTCAAGGTGATTTTACTCCACTAGTTTAAAAAGGAAAGTTGCTGCATGATTAAGAAAATAGCTTAAAGCCTAATCACAGTTCCAAGAGATAATTTGCCTATTTCAACAAAATGAAGAATCAGAAACCAGAATACATGCAAAGTAGCCACATGAAAAACTCTTCTAAAAACTTAACCAAAAAAACAGAATAAAACCAAACATAATAAGGACCTGTTGAGTGAAACTGGATGTGATCCTGGAAATTGCACATGTCCTCTAACCTGGTTTCAAGAAATGGCCATAGCAGAGCACTTATTAAACCAAAACTGTAATGAATAATACACAAAGTGAAGAATTAATTGGAAAAAAACGTATTCAAGTTTTCAATAATTTTGGGTTTTATAAAAGGGAGAAGTTCTCTCAATGTTATCGTTAAGACAAAATATTCTTATAATTTTCAAATATAATATTCATTAAAACAATCAGTCTAACATATTCAAAGCCTACTAAGCACTAACTTATCACTTAATAGTCCACAAAATTATCACAGATATAGTAAAGAAGCAAACCAAAAAAGAAAAAGTGGATAAAAAAGCTATGGCAAGCTGTCTGTCAGAAATTTGATAAAACATTGTCTCCAAATCTCATAGTCTTGACAATGTGAATAAGTAGCTAAATATCAAAGAAAAAGAAATGGATTTCAAAGCGCAAACCCCGACATTTAACTTCAATGTTTGGTAGCAGAATAGGCGCAGTGATTCCAGCTGGTCATGAGGTATTTCATCTCCCAAAACGTCATCATTTGTCAACACTACATCCGTTTCATGATTCTCCTGAAATGACAAAAGACTTATTAAAGCTGAAATCTAAAGAAAATACCTGTTCTAGAATTTTGAGCAAAATTGAAACATCATATATGAAACTAGAAGAAACATATGCAAGCATACCTTGGTATCAATTAGCAATAACTTAATAACAAAGCTTAATTTAATATAATTTGTAAGATTTTTATAACACATGACAAATATCTTCTCTAATCTACATGGTGATGAAGAAGAAAAGGAAGGTTGATCACCAGCAAAGATTACTCATGTGATCAAAGAGGATAACCCCGTGAATAATATTTAACATAAATAGGTTGTTTTCTGCTAAAAAGTCAAAATCTTACTCTTAATAACATACAAAAAGATGTGAAATTAACATTACTGCAAGGTTTTCCATACAGGTAATGCAGTTGGACCTCCATCATCATCATCATCTGCGGCTGCTTCACCATTGAGATCAAGATCAGAAGATCTCTTCCACTCAGGAGTGGGAGGGCATACAACCATTTCAGGCCTTCTTTCATGATAAAATGCATACAAGGCATCAATATAGTCTGGTTTGTAGATTCCTGGAGGACGTGCCTCAGAAAAAATTTTTATTGCCTGCGGAAAAGGTAAAACAAAAATAATATTCCACCGTGAATGCCTAAATGATATTGAAAAATATCAAAAACAACAAACAATTACTGACCTGAGTAACAGACATTGATTGTGATCGCATGAGATAGTGAATAATCATGTATCCGGTGCGGTTATGTCCATGCGTACAATGGACAAGAATATATTTCTTTGATTTCTGACGTAGAAGGAATTGTGACACCTAGTAAACAAATTACATGGAAAAATTCATAAATTGGTTACAGCACATTTTGAACAAGTAACTTGTGAAATTGGGAATGTGCATGTCATATGTGGATCAACAAATGTACTAGATGAATGAGAACAAGTGGGGACACAGTACTGATTATGAGATAAGGTGTAATTTATGTTTGAGATTACAACATAATAGCTTGTTGGCTTTGCCATGATAAGGAAAAATATAACACCAGCCACAACTTCAGTCGTCAATTGATAAATGCACCATGGGAGTTGGGACTAAATCTATCACATGGATCACATTTTAAGAAGAGATAGAGGCAGATATTCTAGTAGATTCTAGAAATGATAGGCAAGTATCATAGCAAAAAGTACCTCATAAGCAAAGGTATTTACAGACACATTCTCAGGTACAGCATCCCGTCCCCTGCATTGGATCTAGAACAAAAACTGAAAAATTAAAACCAAAGCCACAAGCAGTAAGAAAAGCATTAAACTATACTAACCCTCTGCTCACCTTTACATGCTTAATGCCTTCTTTCGTCAGGTCTGCAGTTTGATAGTAACGAGATGTGTTTGTCAAATCAATCACCAAACCAAGCTGAAAACAGAACATCGTACGTAAGGTATTGTTCTCCAATTAACAATCTCACTTTACGAGTCTTATCCAACGGAAACTGATATCTAACTTATTTGGGTGACATGCACAAAAGCACTGGTTGAAGTCCTTACAACAAACACTTTAGCAAAACCTTGAATGGAATAACCATGTCCACCACCTTACTTTGTATAATCACCTTAGACCTATATGCATTTTTCAATTCTATAGTCAACATGACCCAGCATTTTTGAGGACTTCTAGACTCTTTCGCAAGGATTTTGGCATGCTGTTTACACGGTTGAGATGATGACGGAAAAGATCTGCTTTGCATTTCATGGGAAAATTGACAAGTTATTAACACTGTGAAATGAGAAAAGAAATAAAATATTTTCTATATACCTTTCTTCCTAAAACTCTTTGTTGACGAATCACTTGTTTAAAAGAGTATCTTTTACCAGGAGGAACAGAGTCATTATAAGATTCACCAAGTGGAACCTTAGAAGGAATGATGCAGCCTATTTCCTGACCAACCGCAGGACAATCCAGCCAACCTGCAAAAAGATTTGAAAAGAAAAAAATGCACAATGATTTAAGCAACAACAGGAATTTTAAATTTTAAATAAATCAATCATATCATCATCTAAAGCATAAAAATGAAACGAGTAACAATTTGAAATCCATTTATTTACTTTTTGTGGTAATACCAATGTTATAATACACAGTCTGAAATGCTGAAACTATCATTCAAATTGTCAACTTTAAACAATGTATTCATAAATTTCTTATTATTGATAGAAGTTATAGATACCCTTCTGGTAATATGCTGACACATAAAAACCATTATTAACTACAAATTTGTATTTTAACAAAAAAAAAACACAAAATCAAAGATACAATGAATAACTTACACAATCTCAAAAACACCACAATATTTGGGCAATGGAACACAAATTGACAACAATCACAAAACTATATAGCAATTACTGTGCAATGTCAGGGACCTTACCAGGAGGGATCCTGCTTTTATCATAAAACGTCGGATTCCTATTTTGATAAAAGTGATCATGTACAGCAGGCTGAGAGACATGCACTGGCCGGTCATCTGGTTGGTCCTTTTTCAATCTCTTCCGTCTCTCTTCACGTTCCTAACAGAAGCAAAATCCATTACCATGCATGAATGAACAGTGATGCACAAGTATGAAGACTATGACCTTGTTAAAGAGAAACAAAAACAAAACAAAAACAACACAGCATGACATGACATGACATGACATGCTTAACCTAGATAGAAAACAGATGAGGGAAGAGTAAAATGGAAAAACAAACAGGAATGTAATCTGCATGTTAATTAATAATGGATTAGTGTCATGAATGACCCCTAAACTACAGTGAAATGTTCATTGTAGTACCTGAACTTTAAAAATCTCTAATGTAGTATCTAAAGTATGAATCTGTTAACTAATATGGCAATTTGAGGGTTGTTTGTCTGCTGTGTAACATTATCTGAAGTTAGTCACGTTAGGGGTGAGTACCACATTAGTTAAGGGATTCATAGTTCAAATGCCACATCAGAGATTTTTAAAGTTCAAGTCAAAATTGAACATTCAAAAATAGTTTAAGAGTCATTCATGACATTAACGCATTAATAATCAAAATTATGAACACACTGATTTTTCATAAATGCAAGGAACAATTGATCACAACTCCTCTACAAATATAAGAATATCTATACAAATCCTTTGCATAAGTGCAAACATTTTCCAGTATAGTGAATTGACAAGCCACAATGTCTCTTCTCAGTCCAGTAAGTAGATATTACCCATTGAATCAACTACATTAATGCAAACAACTTCAACACTTCATATGCACATGATGAAACTAAAAACAGTTGTCTTAGCTACAGCACTACCTCAACCCAGCCCTCAATGCCTGGAACGATTCACTCTGATATTGCCTATACCAAATTTAGGAGAATTAAATATACATACATAAAATGCCCGAAGTTATTTCCAATCAATGATAGATATTAAGAGCAACTGAATGCATTCTTTAAATGGAAGAAAAATAAAACAGAAGAAGGCCAGAACAGAAGATTCAAGAAGTACCCGCCGGGAAATTTCAACTGCAGATTCTACATGTTCTTCTGGTGGGGGGTAATGTTCTAGATGTCTTTCATACGTATCCTCATCATCTTCAGGTAAAGGGGAAGCATTTAAGTCCATACTAGCAATCATTCAGCATCTACCAAACACCATGAACTTATAACCTATATCAAAAGTTAAATAAAATGAAAAAAAGTAAAAGATATGAGCAGAAAATTCTCTAATCAATTAACACTAAATCGTCATAAATACAATGGCTAGCTCTCTCCTAGCAAATGAATTCGTCAAATTAAGAGCAAAATCCACCTAACCAGCTCTTGGTCTTTTCTCTCACACTCCAAGTAAACGAACAATTCGAAAAACCCTAACCAACAAAATTAAACGCAAGCAACGCAATCCTTTTGGCAGCAAAAGCAATACCGTTGACAAGCAAAAAGAAATTAGAAAAGGAAAACGAAATTAGCTTCAAACTCACCAGTCACCAGAAACATGAAATCGACGACGAAATTACAGTAATATAACGATCCACTACGCCGTTGAAAGCTGCTAAAATAAACTGATTTCCTCTGTATTTTTTTTTCTAGGAAAAAAGAAATTGAAGCCTCTCGTGACTCCGATGAACAGAATAACCTTGCTCTGTAAGTTGCACGATCCCGACAATTAGGTTTGGGTGTTCTCAGAAAGTTTCACTTCGCAACCCTAGAGAGAGAAAGTTATTGGTCTTTTTGAAAGAGGACAGAGGGAGAGTAGCATAAGGACGTTAATAATAAATCACTCCCATGTCAGGAGAGGAGAAGAGAAATGCGTAGATTTTGAGTCTGGGGAAATCAAATAAATAGAGACTATAAAATAATAGCGATAAATTTTTAATTAAAAAATTAAAAGGGAATATTTTGTTTTAATTGGGATTAATTCATTTCTTGTCAACATTAGATTTTCATTTTGGATTTACCCACCAACACCAAATAAATAAATGAAAAACCCCAAATTTACTTTATTATAAAGTTGGAGTTGAAAGAGAAAAACATCTTTCATGCTTTATATTCTTACCTTTTATTATTTTGATTGATTTGTTATTGACTCTCTACTAGAAAAACAAAAATTAAAAAATAAAAAAGAGGTTCCCTTTTTACTCGTTAATAACTTTATTTTTATTCAATAATCATTAGAAGGTTTGGCATTACTTTGGAAAAAAATAATTTGTTTGGAAAAAAATTCCAAATAGTAATTCTCATTTTAAGTCAAGACATCTAAAGTTGAAACACATTCTTAGATTAATTGTAATAAATAAAAAAGTTTTGAATAATAAAAAAATAATCATAAATTTTATTTGTAATTATAAATAAGGAAAAAGAATCCTTTCAGAAACTAGAAACGTGAGTGCAACACATTAGGACAAGAAGTGAGGAAGCGCACGTAGCCAACAGAGGGTAGCCCGTGATTCTTTGTAGCCAAGGGAGATAATAAGTTCAGCAAGTAAGAAACTGAGAATGTGATTTCACAGAATTACTATTTCAGAGGAAAATCTGAAAGAAAAAAGCAATGTGAAAGGCTGATAGCAACAGCAGGGGGATTGGTGGGAGCTTTGGGGTCGGGGGAGCAGCAAGCATCGGGAACCTGCCGTGTTCTTGACGTATTTGCCTTTGACAAGGGTATATAAAAAATTCAATAACACAGTACAATTCGAATCGGTAAAAGGACAAAAAAAAGGAAGAAGCTAAGCCAAAATTTCCAAAAGTACGAGTACTACTAGGTAGCTGAAAGGGAACCCATGCTCTCTCTCTCTCTCTCTCTCTCTCTCTCTCTCTCTCTCTCTCTCTCTCTCCCTCCAATCTCAATTCAAAGTACCCAAAATTCCAAAAAAAGGTCATATGGTTTAATTTCCAATTCAATCAATTTTGTTTTTTTCAATATTGTTTCCCGGCTCCAGCAAGACTACTATGAGCTATGGCCCGTTTCGGTGTGCTCTTTTTACCAAAATTCAATGAAGTTGAAAGCCCATCAGGTTAGATTGAAGTTCTAAGCAGGACAGCCCAAAAATTACGTGACAAGTTTTGCTGCATGTTTAATGCTTGCCTCTATTATCACATAGGCTGAAAAAAATACTATATAAATAAACCTGTTTTACTCATTCTTTCATCATCAAAGGGACGCAAATATACCTTATCTCTTCATCCGTGGGCGCCCTTCATCAGCAATAGGTCCAAAATCTCAGTTGTAAGCCGTATGCTCCATTTCTATTAAAGTTTATTAGTACAGATTTTTGTAACCTATGGGAATTGAAATGAAGAAGGAAAGTTTAACTGGAAACTCAAAACTTGCCAACTTTTCTTGCGTTCCCATAGACTACTTGAAAGAAACATGATTCTGCCGTAACTCGGCAGAAAATTATATAACAAGATAATATACTGTTCGTGTCGAAAATGTGATAAGAAAAATTGAAAACAAATAATAAATTTATTTATTAGACTTATGAAAATTATAATTTTTGAAAATTTCTATTATAAAAAAAAAAATCTGATTCTTACTTTTAAATGCTTCAAGAGTCTTGTTAACTTAATCTTAAATATGAAATCCATTTCAAGGGTCAAGCAAACTTGATCTTAAACAAACGTAATCGATCTCCTTCCTTTAAAAAAAATAAGAAGAGTAATATTTTGACAATTCTTTGAACTTAAATGCTTTGTTTTTTGAGTTTTTTAAAATTTTTTCAATTCTTCAGTGTTTGTTTTCTTGAGACTTTAGAGAGGCTTTAGGATCTTCAAAATCTTCTTCTCTTCTTCTCTTCAAAATTATGAATTATGGCTAAGGAAGACACTATATTTATAGTGCCACCTTACCAAATAATTAACAAGTGATATATTTAATTAATTATATAATTATATTAAATAATATCATTAATTTACATGCCATTAATCGATTTGTCATTTAAAATTTTTTTAATAAATTAATTAAAAAAATTTACCAGACATGTGACACTTTGAAAATATTCTTCTACAAATACCCCCTCTAGACTTGGTCACCCATGATTTTACTTGCAACAAATGAGCAAATCTTGAAATTTAATTTGCTTTACCACCAATTTTGCCAACACATTACACTTGGAGTAGAAATGTGAAGTCTATTTAGCCATGATTCATCATGATAAGGTCAAATTATAATTCTAATGTCATTGAATTAAAAAAAAATCATAAATCCAATTTGCCTTTGGTTTATCTTTACCAAAATTGGATTATAATTTTAATATCTCAAATTATTAAAATTATAATGCCAAGAATTGTCTTGCATCAGTATGTAATAGATAAAGAATTGAACTCCAGCTTCTAGTCCAACAAAAGCTCTAAGGTATGTATTCCAAAACCACTTAGGAATAGGATTGTAACCCTATAAAAGCATGGCTCCTCTTGCTTATTTCCTTCATCAAAATTAAAATCTTCTCCAAGTTTCTGTACAAGACTGCCGAGGCCGGGTAAAGTTCTTGATCACTTCTCTGCTTGCCTTTTTTTTTCAGCCTTGGAAAATTATCCCCAAGCTAGGTGAAAATTGTTAAGGTAATCAATTCTTTAAAAAAAAAAAAAAAAGAATCAAGCATCGAACACATGGATAACAACCATGATGCACACGTTGAAATCCCATGTAATCCACCATGCATTTGACACCTTAGACTCTACTTCCATCATGCAATTGACACCTAATCTTTTAATTCCCATTGTCACCGATTCATTCTTTTACCGTGTAAAAAAAAATCATGCCACACAACCATGATGCCACACGTTGAAATTCCAAGATATATTCATGCATTTTGCCTTTTTTTTTTTTTTTTTTGCACTCTCTTGCTTTGTTAACAACAAAGCTGTTGCCTTCATTCTTTATTTCGGGTGCAAAAAAAATTCTGACTGAAATTTTCCTTCAGATTGCAACTTCAATCAATTTCTCACTTCATTGCTCTTCGGTTTTTTCTTCCAAGCTTTTTTTTTTTTTCATCAAAGAATCAATATCATGCTTGTCATCGAAGAATTAATACCATGCATATATATATATATATATATATATTTTCATATCAATGCATGCTTGAAATTCTTTAATCTTGGCATCAAATAATTTACATGTTCAACATATATATATATATATATATATATATACTAGTTTTTTAGACATGCGTGATGCACATATAATTTTTATCTTAAAAAGTTTATTTTAATAAATAAATTTTTTATACTACAATAGTAACGATAAATACTAATAATTTAATTTTGATTTTGGTATAATATAAGTAAAATTTGATAACTTTTAATATAATTTTGATTTTAATAACTTTTGATAAAATTTAATATAATTTTGGAAAACTTTGAAAAATTTTTGGTAGCCTCTTTATGTAATTTTGGTAATTAACATTTTGGTAACTTATTATATACTTTTAGTAATTATTGATAAAATTTGTGTCATTATATATTTAATAATAGGTTATTGTAAGAAAGCACAAGTTTAATTCTAGTATAAGATAATTTCCTTTTGAGAAATTATCAAATACATTGATAATTGAGTTTTTTAATTCCACAAATAGGATTACGATGGTAACACATATCTCCTATATATTTAAAAATTAATTAAAAAAGAAATTAAACATATGTCATCATCTTAACTCCATTTGTAGAGATAAAAAACTTTATTGTCAATATATCAAATATTTTTTTCTTTTATATAATAATATTATTGTTTCATTCAAATTTAGAATTTTTTAACTAAAATTTTTTTGTTAAATAGATTCGTTGTAGATTTATTCTAATCTTCCAAGATATAATTTCTAACTTCATTTATGCTAATAATCAAGGTTCCATTCAATTCCTTTATAACAACTTTAAGTATAAAAAAAAATTATCAATAATTGACAATTAAGTTTTTATTGATTTACTATTATGTTATTAACGATTTACTACTAAGCTATCGATAATATATTTTTAAATTATCAATGATTTACTATTAAATTAGCATTGATTTACTAATAATTTATTAATGATTTATTACTAAATTATGAATGATTTACTACTAAGCTACTGATGATTTGTTATAAAATTATAACTAATTGATTGTTAATTTATTGATGATCTACTATAAAGTTATTAATGATTAACAAATTTACTATGTAGACACCCAATTTGGTCCAGGCCCGGATCAATTGGGCCTAGTCCAAATAGGTAAGTCTATTTTTTTTTTATTTTTGTATTTTACATTTTACATTTTTATTTTATTTTCATTTTTATTATTATTATTGTTTTTATATATATTTTTCTTTTAATTTTATCTTATGTATTTATTTATTCATTACTACTATTTATTAATATATATAGATATCCTTATTATTATTTTTTTCTCTCTGTTAATATTTATATGTATATCAGATTATATGTTATAATTTATCTGTTATTTAATTTTAATTTATCTGTTAATTTTTTTGATTTATCTGATTTATTTTCATTAATATTTTTATTTGATTTTTTTTATTTTTTTGATTTATCCGGTTGAAGATTGGATTGAGATTCAATCAGAAGAGTCCATGTTGGATTCAATGATTGAATCTCGATCCAAAGAGGAGTTGGGATTGATCAGAAACTCTTCTGATCAATCCCTATAAAAGGGATCTTCAGGAACAAAAGGAAGAACATAAGAAAACAGAAAAGGAAAAGAGTACTGGTTGAGAGAAAAAGACAGACAGAAGAAATTCGAAAGCTGGATAAGGGTTTAGAGGCTTTAGAATAGCTTTAGGAATCGAGAGAAAATTTTTGAAGATTTTTCTGTGAATTTTTTTTTGGAAATTTTTGGAAAATTTCCAGATTCTGGTGAATTTTTCGACGAAAGTTGAATTTTTCGATGACAATTTTGGCCAAGTTTGAAGTTTTCGACCAACTGCCCAGTTTTCGGTGAAGATTCCCAAAAATCAACTAACTTTTCGATGAACTTTCGACGAAA